CTTTTCTTTCTTTGTTTTTTAAAGGAAAAGTACAACCTCCAGGAGTTGCCTGCCAACTTCAAGGCAAAATGTAATGAAATGATCCAGATGAGTTCCCCCACGCTCTGGCCCTGTGCGGGGCAAGCCCTGGAGGGCAGGCTTAGCTGGGCGGGGGGCATGTGTTCTCATGGGGCCACACGGGTGACTGGGGCTGTCCTGCCCCAGGGAGAGCCTGAAGGAAGCGGGTGGATTAACGGAGTCCCGAGCGTCGGCGTCTGTAGGGCTGTCTCCCTGCACTGATGCCGTCCCCACTTAGAGGGCTGTGTAGGCATCTGCCCCCGGCCCCCCCACCTCACTGGAGCGCCCTCCCGGAGGAGCATTGCCGGGGGGACCTGACCGGGGAACCGAGCCCCTTGCCCACGTGGCCGCCCTCCTGGCCCTGCCTAGAGGACCCGGCTCCCAGTGGACTGTGGGGCCGTCCGTGCTGACCTCAGTTCTCCACTGGCCGGGTCAGGCCCTCGATGGAGGGTGCTGCGGGCTGGTTGTGCCCTTGCCCCACATCCACACATGGAAGCCCTGAGCCCCAGAACCTCAGAATGTGGCTGTACGTGGAGATGGGGCCTCCTAGGAGGTGACTGAGGTATGGTGACGGGGCTGGAGTGATCCCATGGGATTGGCATCCTTAGAAGAAGCGAGGATGGACGCCTGGGGGCTCAGCGGTTGAGCGTCTGCCTTGGGCTCAGGGCATGCCCGCAGGGTCCTGGGATCGAGTCCCACGTCGGGCTCCCTGCATGGAGCCTGCTTCTCCCTCTGCCTGTGTCTCTGCTTCTCTTTGTCTCTCAGGAATAAATAAAATAAAAATCTTAAAAAAAAAAAAAGAAGAGATCGGGACAAATGCACACAGAGGGACGGCCATGGGCACACCAGAGGCGGAGGCTCGGGCGGGGAACCGGCTGTGCCACGCGTGAATCCTGGGCTCCCGCCTCCAGCACCCGGAGGGAACAGGTGCCGTTGAGGTGCCGGGGCTGTGGGGCTCGCTTCTGGCCGCCGTGGGTGGAATCTGAGCTCTTCTCCGAATGTCGGCGCCGGGGACAGGGGCTCCCCTCCTGTCATCGCTCTGCCCCCCGTATTTGATCACCAGTAACGATGCTTAGAAACAAAATGGAATTTTTTATCTCTGCTCCATCTTATGTAATGGGCGAATAAAACGGTCTCGTGTTTATCCAGAACCCGGCTGTGGACTTACTCGTGCCCAGCGCAACCGGGATGGTCCACGAGCATCACCCTCCAATGTGCACGTGGCCGCGCGGTGCCTCGGTGCCTCAGTCGTCCACGTGTGCTCCAGGAACGCCGCACGCGTTCCGCTTCTTGGGGCTTCCTTCAAAGCCAAAATCCAGTAAGCGCTGACAACAGATCTGAGCTCGTTGCGTGCGGGGCCAGGGGAAAGGAAACGATCTCCGTAGAGCGTGGAGGGGAATGAACTGTAATTTCTCTCCCAGGACCGTAATTTCCAGAAGTAGACAGAGGGGCCGTGTCCTGCCCACTCCCCCGGAGCTGGAGCCTCAGCCGCCGGCCTGGGTCAGCCCCCGGGGGTGTGGGCCGAGCCCCTGGACAGGCCGGGGCTGTGTGAGCGTGCACACTCCATCTCCATCTGGGTCACGTGTGGACCCGCCAGCGCTCACACCCACACTCCCATTCCCGGGGCGCAGGGGCTCCGGGTGCGAGCCCCCCCGCCCCCCGTCCCAGTCACCCGCCCACTTGCTGGCTTGCGGGGAGCGCTCAGTACCACCGGGCTGCAGGTGCAGCGGAGCCAGGTGTGGCCGGGCGCAGTCCTGTTTGTTTAGGGTTGTTCTTGGTTACGGTGACTTCCCCTAACGCAGCTGCCTCCAGGCCATAAAGTGATCCTGGAGCCGGCCTCCCAGGGACCTCTCTGGGGCTTTCATCGCCACTAGGGGTGCTGGTACCGCCAGCCCGCCCTGTCCCCTGTGGCCTCTCCCCTGGACTCTGCTCGCTCAGGCCGCCTTCCAGAGCGGGAGGGAACCGGCGAGGAGGCCCACCCGGGCCCCCGGGCTGCTGCCTTGTCCTCTCCTAGCGCCCGGCCCGGGCCGCGCTCGCAGGGTCTGCGGCTGTCCTGCTGTAGGACGGCCCCGGAACGTCGCCGCGTCGGGGCCCGCCTGCTGTCCCCAATCGCCCGGCAGGTGCTGCCGCGTTTTGGCTCCGCTGGGGAGGCAGGATCGGTGCCTGCAGAAGCCGATGCCGAGGAGCGTCCGCCCTTGCATGCCGGGGAGCCAGGCCCGCCTGGAAGCGGTTTAGCGACACTGAGTTTCCTTTGGTGAAGGGACGGCAGATGGGCCGCTGGGCGTGTGAGCTGAGGTCACAGCGAGACGGGGATAGAGAGCAGGTGAGCGTGCGGGGCTGGTGCTGACCCGGCCTGAGCCCCTATGGCTCAGCTTACCCAGCCTCTTGGTCTGAGGAGCGGGCGGGCCGGCCCCAGGTCGGGGGAGGAGGCGGACAGGCCTGGAGCCGTGCCCCGGGCCCCTGGTCAGGCTGTCGGGCTGCAGGGAGTCCCCGGGCGCCCAGGACATAACCACCTATGTCCCAGGAGCAAGGCGGGTGGCCTGCACCCTCCCACGGCAGCCCCTGACTCCAGGGAGAGGCCTGACACGCAACCAGCGTGTCCTCATGTGGCTCCCGGCCTGGGCTTTGGTGCGAGGAACACGTGCCCGTGGTGCCCACCTGATGATGGTCTGCGAAATTAGGTGTCCACCGTTCTTTTTTCTTTTAAAGATTTTATTTATTTATTCACGAGAGAGACAGAGTGAGAGGCAGAGGGAGAAGCAGGCTCCATGCAGGGAGCCTGATGTGGAACTCGAACCCGGGTCTCCAGGATCAGGCCCTGGGCTGCAGGCGGCACTAAACCACTGGGCCACCCGGACCGCCCCGTGTCCGCCGTTCCTGATGTGAATCTTTGCTCTCCCCTTGGCGACGGGAGGCTTTCCCCCGGGCCTCTCTGTCTTTTCCGAACGGGGTGGCTCCGGGTGTGAGCTCACTTGCAGCTTCCCGGGAGCCCTTGGACGGTTCCTGTTCGCGTTTTGTGACGTGCGGGTGGGAACGGGTGGTGGGGCTGTGGTCGGTCCTGGAGACCAGAGGCCCCCAGGAGCCCCGGCTTGGGGCCTGTTCCCCGAGGACACCCTGGGGACAGGCGGTGGGCGCCTGGGTGACTCAGACTCCCCTGCTCCCTGGACGGGACGCCTGGTGGCCGCCCCTGAGAGGCTCGTGGGTCGGGCCGCGGCCTGGCACTGCTCCCTTTGCACAGCGACAAGCACGCTCCCGACAGTGAACGGACCCGGAAGGGACAGACTTTATTTTTGAGGGTGGTTTAGGCCCACAGAGAAGTGGCTGGAACTCTGGTCTCCCTCCTGCTCTCCCCGTTACCATACCGGGCGTCCACGGCGTCCGAGGAGTGGTCGTGGGGCCAGGGTGTCCGGCGACGCCCCGCTGTGCCGTGGGCTCCTCTCTGGGCCGCGCCTCCTGTGGGCTCGCCGCCGGCGCACACACACAGTCCGTGCTTGTGAAGCACACTCCACGCCCCGGGGACCCCCCCGCCCGCCCCAGGCCCCCGCCGGTCCCCCGACTGTCCCTGCAGTGCTGCCTCCGCCGGAGCTGGACTCACGCTGCAGCAGCCTCACTGGCTTCTTTATCTTGGCGACAGGCACTGGGGTTCCTCTGTGTCTTCTCTTTTCCTTTTTTTTTTTTTTTTTTTAAATCGCTGAATACTGTCCCTGGCACGGAATGCAGAAAGTCAGGTGCCCCAGCTGCTTGCAGGGCCTTGGCAGGCGTGGAGCGAGCGCGTGTCCTGTGTCCAGGGCCTGCCTGTCCGGCCGCCTCCACCCTGAGGGCGCCTGCCCGTAACTTCCTGTATTTCCAGAGACTCTTTTTTTGGGCTTTATGTTTATTTGTTCACACTTCCCCTCCCCCAGTCTTCAAGCTGTGACACCTACGTGTATGGAGCTGAGGACACGCATGTCGTGAAGACGTGCCCCTTTCCTGGGGGGTGGGGGGTCAGAGCCGGGAGGCCGGGCCTGGGTCAGGGTTCTGGGTGTGGAGGGGTGTGGGCAGGGGAGCGGGTGGGTGCCGGCGACGGGGCCCTGCCCCAGACGAGGGTGTGAGTCAGTGTCCTGCTGGAGCAATGTGTGTCCCAGACGAGCGAATGACCCTGTGTCATGTTCCCTCAGGAACTGCTAAGATAAGCTGCGCGGCTATAAATAGTCCGCATGGCGGGAGCTAAGGTCGCGCTGCCGCCCACGGCAGCCCGCGAGGACAGCTAGGTCCCTGGGGTCTCTCCTTTGCTGTGCACATTTTTGCTTTGAGGACGGGGGTGCGAGGGGCCCCGGGCGGGCAGCGCCTGCAGGTGTCAGGGTCCTGGCACCCCAGGACCAACTGAGGCAGGTGTGAGCCGCCCCCAGGACCAACCGAGGCAGGTCCTGGAGCCTGAGCGCCTGCCCCGCGCCGGCCGTCTGTGTGCCCACGCTCTTCCTGCCTCGCCTGCTCGGCCTCCTGAGCCCCCGCGCGACTCCGTTCCACTCGCAGGAAGGGATCTAGGGCAGGCGTCCACTGCGTAGGGAATACGAGCTCGGGTGTGGCCGTGGGGGCGCCTGAAGGCCACCGGCAGGCCTGCATCTCCCGGTCGTGGCCGGGCTCCCGCTGGCCCCCAGCTTCCTGGCCTGGGAGTCCCCTCCCGGGAGAGGAAAATCTGCAAAATCTGCCTAGGAGCACAGGGTGCTTCTCTTTGCAGAAGGCTCCAGGGTTGTCACGAAATGCTGTAAAAACAACTGGACTTTGGGAAAAGCCGAGAACACGGTCGGGATTGTCTTAGCTGCAGGGCCTTAAGCGTCTGTGATGCGGAAACCGTGGCCGTGAGTAGGGGGTCCCGGGGGCTCGGCGTCGGGGCCGGGCCCTAGCCGACGTCACACGGCTTCTCCTGGGAGCCCGTCTGCTGACCCTGTTTCTTCTCGTTTTAGGTGGTGACTCGCCGCTGTGCGCAGGGGCGCTTGGAACAGGTGAGTCCTTGCCGCGTCCGGGCTCCCGGCTCGTCCCTTCCTCCACGTGGCTCCCTCGGGGCCTCAGATGGGACCCACTGCTGCGCTCATGGGCCTCTGCACCCACGCCTGGCCTCAGCTGCCGGCCATCTGCACACGTTCCATAGTGGTCAGAGCCAGGTCTGCCTCCGAAACGTCCGTCTTCCTGATCCCGGACGTCAGCCTGGGTTTCCTAGTCGGTTGCCTCCGTGACCACAGGGGTCTCAGGCCGTCTCCTTCGGGGCGGAACGTGGCCACGAGGTGACTCGTGTCACGGCGTCCCAGGGGCCTGCGGAGGTGGGTGACCTGGACACCCCAAGGAGGCCTTCGTGGAAGTGGGGAATGCCCAGTGAGGTTCAGCCCCGGGCGCCCTGGCCCCGTGTCCTCGGTGAGCCCCTGGGCCTCCCCTCCACGCTCGGTCTTTGATGCTCGTGGCGGCTCGTCAGTCTTCAGGTGTGGGGGCCTGTGGCCGCCTTCCTGCCACCTGAGGCCGTGGGCTCCGGGCTGCGAACACCCCCTGCTGCAGCCGTGCAAGTGGCCCCAGGTCCAGCTGCCATCTGTCCACCCCCTCCCGCCCCCGGGCCTCCCCCCGGCCGGGTGCTCACCGGCTCCATAGGCGTCCCAGGTGCCAGGTTCCCTCCCGAGACGTTCCGGAACACCTTGGCTCGGCTCCTTCAGCCCATGAGCCGCTGGGTCGGTTCTGGGGCGGTGATGGGCCCTGCCGGCGGGACCTGGTGACATGCTCGGGCCTGACCTGGTGACCTGACGCCCTGACAGCGGCTTTGTCTGCGGGGCAGGGGGGTCCCTGGGACCGTGTGGGGTGTTTGGGACACGCTCTGAACCCTGGGCTGTCGCCCTGGTGGCCGTTGTTCTAGGATGTTCTGCTGCAGATCTTTCTTCCGGTTACTGCAGGGGTTAATGAAGTGGGGTGTGCGGTTTGATTAGTCCTCACACCCCAGCTGGCAGGCTGGTTGCAGGAGGCGACCTGGCCTTTGTCAACGTTGACTTGGCTGATGGGTCCGACACGGGCTGAGCCTCCTGGGGGCCCGCGGACAAGGGGGGCCCGGAGAGTCGGCCTGTCGGCCAGGGGCAGGGGGATGGTGCCGGATGCGTGCTCGAGCTGAACACCTCAGTGGTTGCGAGCCCGGGGCCAGCGTCAGGGGATGGCCCACGCAGGTCACGACGCACCTGGAGGCCTGCAGGACCTCGCACGCAGTCCTCTGGCGCCTGGGCCTCCACCCCCGGGCGGGTGGCGGCGAGGAGCTGATGGAACGGAGCTTGCGAAGTCTCGGCCGCTGGCTGGGCACACGGGAGACACGGGAGAAAGCCTTGTTCGTGCCGCGGATGCAAGGGGGCGGTCAAGGCCTCTGCAGGTTTGTTTCTGACCATTGTTCTCTTGCCATCTGGCCGGGGACAGTTGGTTTGACGGGTTCCGGAGTGTGCCATCTGCTCCCTGAGGGTGCAGGTCCTGCAACAGACACGTAGGGGGCCCCTTCCTCCCGAGCCCTACTGGGAGACGTCGGGGAGCCCGGGTCGGGGCGCGGGTGGTGCACGACCTCTGGCCGGCAGGTGGCTTGCAGGCCTGTCCACTGAGGCTGTCACTGACGCCCCGGGCACGGCGTTGCCGGTTTCTCCCGCCCCGTCTGTACTCGACTGTCAGCGTCCAGCCAGTGTCCGTCGCAGCGGCGCAGGAACGGGCCTGGGCACTCTCCGGGTGCAGGTGGCTTTTCACCAGGATGCCCTTCACTGCGCAGATGTGAACTAGCCTGGGCGTGGCCAGGGCTCCCGGGCAGCACACGGCGGCCTCGGCCCGGGGACGACCCCAGGGGCCAGTGCGGCTGCCCTGTGTCCGAGAAGCTCATTCTTTCAGAGTGGCTTCTGCCTATGACGGAGGCCGTGTCCCCGCCTGGTGGTGGCCCTGTGTCAGGTGCTCCGGGCGTTGCCAGCGTCTGCAGGGGACGCAGGTGCGAGCCCTTCCCTGGCCCCTGGGGCTCACGCCCAGATTGTTTGTGCTTGGCTATTGTGGTTTCTCCCGCGGGAGCACGGGTGGTGTAGAATAGCTTCTGAAATTTGAGGCGGCTATTTACAGACTTCTCTGTTTATAATTAAAGTGAAGACAATGGGCGGTTTCTGTCGCAGGTGACATCAGGTGTCAGGTTACACAGGCTGAGGCCAGTTTCCAGACTGGGTCCTGTTAGCTGCACCTGTGTGTGCGTGCATGGAGTGCGTGTGCATGGTGTCCGTGTGCATGTGCATGTGTATGGTGTGCGTGTACCGTGTGTGCATGCATGGAGTACGTGTGCATGGTGTGTGCATGTGCATGGTGTATGGCGTGTGCATGTGTACAGCGTGTGCATGTCTATGGCGTGTGCATGTGTACGGCGTGTGCATGTGTACGGCGTGTGCATGTGTACGGCGTGTGCATGTGTACGGCGTGTGTGGCATGTGCGTGTGTACGGCGTGTGCATGTGTATGGCGTGTGCATGTCTACGGCGTGTGCATGTGTACGGCGTGTGTGGCATGTGCGTGTGTACGGCGTGTGCATGTGTATGGCGTGTGCATGTCTACGGCATGTGCACGTGTAGGGCGTGTGCATGTATAGGGCGTGTGCGTGTGTAGGGCGTGTGTGTGTGTACGGCGTGTGTGGCATGTGCCTGCGTGTACGGCATTGCGTGTGCATGCGTGTTTGGCGTGTGCACCTGTATGCCATGCATGCGCGTGCGGACGTGCTCTCGGACCTTGTTGGTTCTGCTTTGCCTCCAGTCACACTTGGAGGAAGTGGTGGTGGGTGGGGAGGTCAACACCAGGACGGCGTGACTGTCGGGACCCGTGGCCCATGAGCCGCCGCTGCCTGAGTCACGAGTCACATCCCTCACCAGTGGCCGTGACGGAATTTCCCAAAGGCCCCGGGTAGTCAGGAAGCGATGCCGTGGAGCGGGGCACCGGGACCTTGAGACGACGGAAGGAACCCCCTGTCACGTCGCTCCCTTATCGCAGGATTTGGAAGCGTCGGTTTCGGGCTTGCGCATGGCAGGTGGTGGGTGCGGGCTCTGCCTCGAAGGTTCGCGGAAGCACCTGGAGGCCTTGGCTTCTGCCGCCGGCTCCTCCCACGGCAGCCTCGGCGCGAGTTCCTTGCCCCGGCGCTGGTACGTGCGGGGTGGTTGGGTGCCGACCACTCCCTCGCTGCGGCCCGCCTCGGAGCACCGGCGCAGGCGCTGCTTGGTGAGGGGAGGCCTGTGTTCTCTGGAAGTCGCGGACCCCGGGAGCGTGCGCGTGCATGTGGCTGCACCCGGGCTGCCCCGCCGGGGTCTGTGCATCCCACGCCAGCACAGTCGCCAGTGGCAATGACGTTCCCTTGCTTCGGGCAGCAGAGACATGCAAACGTCCTCGTTCTGTGATCCGTGATCTTCCGGAGGCCGGGGAAGTCCTCGGGAGTCCTGCGGGCGGTAGCGGGGGCCTTCCACTCGGTCACACTCAACGCCTGTGGTTTCAGTAAAAGCCGAGGGGGACCCGGATATAAAGGCCCACGTGAGCGAGCGCTGGAAACGTCGGTGATGCAGGAGCCGTGGCCTGGTTCACCTGTGCTCACCAGGATGGGGACCGCAGGAGCCCCTAGGGCACCCCAGTTTAAAGGGGCGTGTGGAGTGGATGGAGGGAGGGAAACTGAGTCTCGGGGAGGCTGGGGAAGCATCGCGAGCACACGGAGCATCAGGCTCGGGCCGGCCCACGGTCACGCGCCGGGAAGGGGTGGCGTGAGGCTGGAGCTTGTGGGGCCCTCATCTTTCTGCGGCTCCGGGAGGGGCTCCAGGAGGGTTGCTGGGCACCCTCAGCGGGGGGGGGGGGTTTGGGAACCGCCCTGTGCCCCTGAGGCTCCCTTGGGCCACGCCCCGGGTGCAGGCTCACTCCCCACCGGGGGCAGTGTTGCTGGGACCAAGTTATGGCGCAGTGGCCCGGGGCAGTGGCGGGGAAGCCAGGATCCCCCACCAAGCTCAGGTTCCCGTTCCCTCCACTGCGCCTCACCTGCTCCGACGACCTGCCCTTGGGGGGAGCGAAGCAGGTGGGGACGGGGCGGCCGCCCTCACACCCGCTCCTGGGACAGGCAGCGAGTCCGGGAGGCAGCGCACGGGTGGACGGTGCCCCCGTGGGTGGGGCGTGACGCATGCGCTGGAACCGGGGTGCGGCTGTGTTTGGAATGAGGATGAGGGAGGTTAGGCCAGACTCGTGCCCTTGGGGCTGAGGGGAGCGGGTCAGGGGTGCGAGGTGGTGGCCGGCGGAGTCTGTCCCACCCGGAGCCCGCCCAGGTGCACGGCCCCGTGGCCTTCCTGGCCGTGTGGCTGCCAGGACGGCAGCGCAGGGGTCCCTCCCGGTGCCTCCCGAGGGCGCTTCTGGGACAGCGAGGGGCCGCCCGGGGGTGACGCGTCCCCCGTGACCCCGCACGTGGGCGAAGCTGCAGCCATGCAGAGGAACAGGGGCGGGGGTTTGGGAGGCAGAAGGAGCAGCTCTGGTTCTGAAGGGCCCCGGGAGTCGGGCCGGGCTGGGAGCGGGAGGCCTCGGGAGCCCTGGCCGCTGCCCGGGCCTGCCTGGCCTTGGGTCGCGTGAGTGCGAGGCAGGGGGGCCGGGGGCGGGGGCGGGGGGGGACCCTCTTCCAGTGACCTTTGCCCCTGGCTCTGTCTGCAGCTGCTGGCAGGGCCATCTCCAAGACCTGGCGTCCTAGATTTCCCCGGAACCCGGGCCCCCGCCCCACCTGGATCTGACCACAGGCCGACTCTGGTCCACGCTCGCCGCGGCCTTCCCGTTCTCTCTCCTGCACCTAAAGTCAACATCCGGGCCTGGGGCTTTTGCAGCCGCGGTGGGAGCAGCCGGTGGGAGCGCCCGGGGAAAGGCGCTCCGGCTTGGCGCACCCGGGCCACCGGTCACGGGCCCTCTGGGAACCTCCCCAAATTAAGGGGGACCCCCAGCCGCGCCAAGCCTCGCACAGTGAG